CCTCCTCCAGAGCCCTGCAACGCCGGGAATTCCCGGAATTCCCAGAATTCCCAGAATTCCCGGAATTCCCAAAATCCCCGGGATCCCCCAAAACCCCCCCCCCCAAAAAATCCCGGGATTTCGGGGCCCCCTGGAGCCAAATTCCCAATCCCTGGGGCCGAATTCCGGCTCCTCCCCCCCATTCCCGACCCCTTTGCCTCCGGAATTCCGGGAATTCCGGGAATTTCGGGAATTCCGGAGCCCCCATTCCCCAATTTCCCCTCAAAATTTGGGAATTTGGGGCTCTCCCCTCCCCCCATTCCCGGTTTTTTTTCCCTCCATTCCCAGAAATTCCAGGATTTCCTAAGGATTCCCGGGAATTCCGGGAATTCCGGGGCTCCTGGACCCCCCCATTCCCCAATTTCTCCCCAAAATCCGGGAATTCGGGGCTCTCCCCTCCCCCCATTCCCGGTTTTTTTTCCCTCCCAATTCCCGGAATTCTGAGCTCAGGAATTTGGGATGGAGCCACGGGAATTCGGCTCTTAAAGGGGCCGCGCCCAAATTCCCTCCCCGGGGTTTTTTATTGGGAATTTTGGGATTGAAAATCCCGGGATAAAAAATCCCAAAATTCCAGCAGAATGATCCCAAAATTATCCCAAAATTCCTGCAGAATTATCCCAAAATTCCCCCAAAATTATCCCAAAATTCCCCCAAAGTTATCCCAAAATTCCCCCAAAGTTATCCCAAAATTCCTGCAAAATTATCCCAAAATTCCCGCAGAATTATCCCAGAATTCCCACAAAATTATCCCAAAATTCCTGCAGAATTATCCCAGAATTCCCCCAAAATTCCTGCAAAAATTATCCCAAAATTCCTGCAGAATTATCCCAAAATTATCCCAAAATTTCCCCCAAATTTATCCCAAAATTCCCGCAAAAAATTATCCCAAAATTCCCTCAGAATAACCCAAAATTCCTACAAAATTCCCAGGTTTTTTTCCCATTTTTTCCCTGTTTTTCCCAGACTTTCTTCTGTTTTTTCCCCCTTTTTTTCCCCATTTTTTTCCCAGATTCTCCCTTTTTTTCCCCCAGATCTTTTCCCCCATTTTTCTCCAGTTTTTCCCGTTGTTTTTCCCGCTATTTTTCCCATTTTTCCCCCATTTTTTCCCACTTTTCCCATTGTTTTTTGTGCTGTTTTTCCCACTGTTTTTCCCGTTGTTTTTCCCATTTTTCCCCCATTTTTTCCCCCATTTTTTCCCACTTTTCCCACTGTTTTTCCTGCTGTTTTTCCCATTTTTCCCCCATTTTTTCCCGTTGTTTTTCCTGCTGTTTTTCCCATTTTTTTCCCACTTTTCCCTCTGTTTTTCCCGTTGTTTTTCCCGGTGTTTTTCCCATTTTTTCCCCCATTTTTTCCCACTTTTCCCCCATTTTTCCCGTTGTTTTTCCCATTTTTTCCCCCATTTTTTCCCATTTTTCTCCCATTTTTCCCCCATTTTTTCCCATTGTTTTTCCCATTTTTTCCCGTTGTTTTTCCCGTTGTTTTTCCCGTTGTTTTTCCCACTTTTCCCCCATTTTTCCCACCTGTCCATCTCCGTCAGCAGCTCCAGAACCTCCAGGGCCACCTCGGGCTCTTTGTCGTGAGCCATGGCCACCAGCCGGGCCTGCGTTCCCACAGAATTCCCAAAGAATCCCGGAAAAATCCCGGGAAAATCCCGGGAAAATCCCGGAATTCCCGGAAAAATCCCAAAAAAAATCCCGGAATTCCCGGAAAAATCCCCAAAAAAATCCCGGAATTCCCAAAAAAATTCCCAGAATTCCCAAAGAATCCCGGAATTCCCGGTAAAATCCCCAAAAAAAATCCCGGAATTCCCAAAAAAATCCCAAAAAAAATCCCAAAATTCCCAAAAAAAATCCCCCCAAAAAAATCCAAAAAAAATCCCAAAAAAAATCCCCCAAAAATTCAAAAAAAAAACCAAAAATTCCCAAAAAAATTCCCAAATTTCCCAAGAATTCCCAACATTCCCAAACTCCCAGGAATTCCCAAAAAAAAAAACCCAAACAAATAAAAAAAAAAAAAAAACAAAAAAAATACAAAAAATATCCAAAATAAACCTAAAAAAAATCCAAAAAATTCCCAAAAAATTCCCAAAAATTCCCAAAAATCCCCGGCATTCCCAGCATTCCCAAAATTCCCAAACTCCCAGGAATTCCCCAAAAAAACCAAAAAAAAAACCCCCCAAAAAAACCCAAAAAAATAAATAAAAAAATCCAAAAAAAACCTAAAAAATTCCCAAAAAATTCCCAAAAAATTCCCAAAAAATTCCCAAAAAAAATCCCAAAAATCCCCAGCGATTCCCAACATTCCCAAACTCCCAGGAATTCCCAAAAAAAACCCCAAAAAATCCAAAAAAAAATCCCAAAAAAAACCAAAAAAAATCCCAAAAAATCAAAAAATTCCCAAAAAATTCCCAAAAAAATTCCCAAAAAATTCCCAAAAAATTCCCAAGAATCCCCAGCATTCCCAGCATTCCCCAGCATTCCCAGCATTCCCAGCATTCCCGCTGTTCCCACCTTGAACCTGCAGGTGAAGAGCTCCAGGCCGGGGGCGGCCTCGGGAATTCCGTAAATTCCCCGCAGGGCCCGGACGCAGCGGAGCCGAACCTGCCCCTCCTGGAATTCCCAAAATTCCCGGAATTCCCAGAATTCCCAACATTCCCGGGGCTCCCCCCGCACTTCCCGGCCTTCTCCCAGATTTTCCTGCATTTTCCTGCATTTTTCCCCAAATTTTTCCCGTAATTTCCCCAGGAATTTCCAGCTTTTCCCCATTTCTTCCAAGATTTTCTCCCAGAATTCCCCCCAGAATTCCCAGTTTTTCCTGGATTCCCCCCAGAATTCCCAGTTTTTTCCCAAGATTTCCCCCAGAATTCCCAGTTTTTCCCAGAATTCCCCTTTTTTCCCATTTTTCCCCCCAGAATTCCCAGTTTTTTCTGCAGAATTCCCAGATTTTTCCCATTTTTTCCCATTTCCCCCCCCAGAATTCCCGTTTTTTCCTGGATTTTTCCTGGATTTTTCCCATTTTTCCCCCCAGAATTCCCGTTTTTTCCTGGAATTTTCCTGTTTTTTCCCATTTCCCCCCCAGAATTCCAGTTTTTTCCCGTTTTCCCCGGGTTTTTCCTGTTTTTTCCCATTTTTCCCCCAGTATTCCCATTTTTTCCTGTTTTTTCCCATTTCCCCCCCCAAATTCCCGTTTTTTCCCCCAGAATTCCCATTTCCCCCCCCAGAATTTCTGTTTTTCTCCCCACAATTCCCGTTTTTCCCGGATTTTTCCCATTTTTCCCCCCCAGAATTCCCGAATCTTTCTCGTTTTTTCCCGTTTTTCCCGGATCTTTCCTGTTTTTCCCCCCAGAATTCCCGTTTCCCCCCCCCAGAATTCCCATTTCTCCCCCCAGAATTCCCATTTTTTCCCGTTTTTCCCCCCCAGAATTCCCGTTTTTCCCGGATTTTTCCCGGATTTTCCCCGTTTTTCCCCGTTTTTCCCGGATCTTTCCCATTTTTCTCCCCAGAATTCCCGGATTTTCCCCATTTTCCCCGTTTTCCCCCCCAGAATTCCCATTTCCCCACCCAGAATTCCCGTTTTTTCCCGTTTTCCCCAGATTTTTCCCGTTTTTTCCCATTTTTCCCCCCAAAATTCCCATTTTTTCCCGTTTTTCCCGTATTTTTCCCGTTTTTCCCCGTTTTCCCCCCCAGAATTCCCGTTTTTCCCCGTTTTTCCCCCCAGAATTCCCATTTTTTCCCATTTTTTCCCGGATTTTTCCCGGATTTTCCCGGATTTTCCCCATTTTCCCCGTTTTCCCCCCCAGAATTCCCATTTTTCTCCCCAGAATTCCTGTTTTTTCCCGTTTTCCCCGTTTTTCCCCCCCAGAATTCCCGTTTTTTCCCGTTTTTCCCGGATTTTCCCGGATTTTTCCCCGTTTTTCCCCACCTTGTCGTGCAGGCTCCAGCCCAGGTATTTGAGGTGGCCGTCGCTCAGGAACGAGGCCGGGAACTTCTGCACCCAGAGCCCGAGCTCCTGCAGGCACATGCCCCGGATCTCGGGGTCCACATCCCTGTCCAGAGACCCCAAATTATCCCAAATTAATCCCAAATTATCCTGAATTATCCCTAATTAATTATCCAAATTTATCCTGAATTATCCCAAATTAATCTGATTTTATCTGATTTCCTCCCCCAGCCCGAGCTCCTGCAGGCACATCCCCCGGATCTCGGGGTCCACATCCCTGTCCAGAGACCCCAAATTATCCCAAATTAATCCTGAATTATCCCTAATTAACCCCAAATTAATTATCCAAATTTATCCTGAATTATCTCAAATTATCCCTAAATTAATCTGATTTTCTCCCCCAGCCCGAGCTCCTGCAGGCACATCCCCCGGATCTCGGGGTCCACATCCCTGTTCCAGGAGTTAATTATCCCTAATTAATCCCTAATTAATCCCAAATTATCCCAAATTATCCCAAATTAATCTGATTTTATCTGATTTCCTCCCCCAGCCCGAGCTCCTGCAGGCACATCCCCCGGATCTCGGGGTCCACGTCCCTGTCCAGAGACCCCAAATTATCCCAAATTAATCCTGAATTAATTCCTAATTAATCCCAAATTATCCCAAATTAATTATCTCAAATTATCCCAAATTTATCTGATTTTATCTGACTTTCTCCCCCAGCCCGAGCTCCTGCAGGCACATGCCCCGGATCTCGGGGTCCACATCCCTGTC